TCCATTTTCTCGGATCGCGTCACATATAAAGCTAAGCCCAATACATATTTTGATAGGGAATTAAATGCTCCACAAAAAAGGTACCCTATGTTGAGTATGAGTAGTACCTACATATTTTTGAAAATTTACTAATCTACAAAAAGTTTTCTTTAGTTATTTCTATAAATGTAAGCGTTTAAAAGGTGATCGCGCGGAATAATAATAAGTTTTGTTAAAGTATATCCTGTATGGTCTACTGTTTAGGATACCTACCTAGTTCCTAATGTAACAAGTTTTTTTTTAACTTTTATCCTATATACTGATATAAATCTTGTATTGTAGTTTTTAATATGGTAAATAAATATTTTAAATGTCTCTCAACCGGGAGGCTCGGGTACCGGAATACCTTTTTAAAAATTAATATTTTGATAAAATTTAAAAAAATAACGTGAAAATATTTCAAAGCTTATTTTAATTAATACGAACACAAATATATAAGGATATTTAAAAAAGAAAAGTTTTTGTTCGAGTTATAAATATTAAAAAAAAACTGTGACCTAAAATATCTTTTGAATGGCTAGGTTTATAAAAACAAATAATACCTTTTTCGTAGAGCATTTACTTCCCTATCAAAATGTCCATTGGGTTTAGTTTGAAATTTATTTGTAAGTAAGATATAATTTTTCATAGACTAATGTAAAAATGGAAAATTGCGATGAGGAGGATCTAAGCTCAGGCTTTTTTGAAGATGCCCAGCAACCAATTGTTGATATCAGAACTAGTTAACTATTTAACTGGTTAACTATATGGTAAACGAGAAAATATATAAAAATTCCTTAAAATAAAGAAGTTTACACTGAGTTTTTGGGCCTCTATAACTCGAAGAATTTTGACAATATTACATTTTTAATATTTTTCAGTGAATCACTTCAGAGTTTTGAGACACCCTGTATAGGCTTATGAGTGTTATAATATATAAATTGTTATACACTTGAAAAAAGTAGCACATTATAGACCAGGCGGAGGCGCTAGCCGAGGCAGTAGATTGTGTGCAAGGCGATTAATAGGCTTTCGCTGCCGTGTTTTATAATCAATTTTTTTTTAATTTATTCATTAATAACAATTTGACTTTTGAACTAGAATTAATATGAAGTATTTCTATAAAATTTACAATGAACCACCCTATTTTTAATTACAGATTCGACTATAAATAGGCAGATTTTGTCTAAAACATTTCTTCATACTTGTTATAGATGGCGTCGTGATAAAAAATCAATTTTGTTCGATTTCTCCTCTTTATACAATTCTGCAATAATTTTTCAATAAAAATATCACTTTTTTATTGGGAATAATTATCTTATTAAATTAAATATGATTTTTTTTTGATAAAGTTCGATTTTTTTACTAATGGGCGATTGCACGCGTTACTGATGGGACAATCGGAAAAAAATTTAAGTATTTTTTGATATTTGTTGCTATCAGTAATGGGCTAATGACGGTAATATTTGGGTAACTATTAAAGCTATAGTTTGTGTAAAATTTTCAGTATCAGAGCTATTAAAATGTTTTTTATTTTACGAACTAGAAATCAATAAAATGTTGTTACTGATGGGACAAGAAAAAGGTCAACAAAATTTCTGGTTACTAGAAGTGAATAATTCTCTGAAACAGAATAATGTTGAAGAAAAGTATACATGAACCAAGTTGCAGATGCAGTTAGTATAACTTATTTTGACATCACTCATCTTTCAGTGTAATCTATGTAGGCAATGCATTTTGATTTTTCGTTACTGACGGGACATTACTGATGGGACATTTATTATTATTATTTATTATACACTGAAACAAATGTGTAATTGGTTAATTTAATTAAATAACTTCAACAATAATTTTAACAGGATAATAATAACTGTAAAAAATTTAAAAGCATTTGAACAAATTTGATTTTTCGGATTCATAGTGCTTCTTAATCAACATATGAGTACCATTAACAAACTTAAAATAGTGTGAACTTAATATATCAGGTATTCAAATTTTTTTGTTTGCTGCTTTTTATTTTCTCTAAACTTTCTTTTCCTTTCTCTTTCATTAATTTTTTGCTGCATTTTAAACCCACCATCATTTTCCGCCAACTTTTTTAATTTTTCTCTGTACTTTTTTGAGCTTAAAGCATTTTTAGACAGGTAAGTCTTTTTTAAAACAGGATTTTCATAATTTTTTTTGCGATATTTTTTAACCCGCCGCTTCGTATTTTCTTTGTCAATCACGTTTTTTTTTGCCATCCTAAAAATTATCACATTTCGTTACTGACGGGACCAACTTTAAAAAAAGGAAATACAAAAATCTGGGACAGCAAACCAATATATTTTTATCGCGTAAGCAAATGTGAAATAGGGACAAACATTTTTAATATTAATTAAAAACTGGGCAAGTTGCATACTTGCGATATTAAAACTTATCATATAATTTCGTTACTGATGGGACAAATATACAATAATATTATAAATTTAAATTTCTAGAACAGTTTACTTACTTGCAAAAAAAATATTCAGTAATATGTTCACTAATAGTGGCGTCTAATCAAAACTGACGTTTTCGGAAGCTTCACTTACTGTTATAGGTCAAAGCCACCTTGAATAAAATGCTACTTTGCATATAAATTTTAACATCGGAAAATTGGTTATTTTTGACCATATTTTTTTTAAATAATAAGTACCTGAGATAAACATTTTTAGTTTTTTCAACTAATTTCACCATTAATGATTAACTTAAGTATATTTTTGTTTCATTGTGCCCTGCTTAAAACTGATGGAAAAAATTACATTGCGCGTGCAATCGCCCTAATATCTAAGTTTTCTTAAAGTTTAATTTTTATACATTATTTCATTTAATCAGGATTAATCAGTTTTCCATTTTTTATTCTTGTTTTTTATTTGTTATTTTTTGTTATCCTTGTGTTGAGACTAAAAAGAGTCCGGCACCAAGAGGTACAGAACCCCCACATTTGGCTGCGCAATTGGCTTCCTTCTTTCCTAGGGTGCAAACAAAAAGGTCTGTCATGGTTTTGATGTATGGAGAAGGCAGGAATCTTGATAATGCCGGTTTTTTTTTGCTTTTTCTTTAATTTTATTTTTATTTATATATCTACGCTCAGCGTTTTCCAGGTAAAATTCGATCGCGTGCTTCATTTTACCGTATAGTCGATCAGTTTACTAATCACCGAAAAAAATATTTCGTAGAGCAACAGTCACCGGTGAAAATAATGAAATTAATGTATTAGCAGCCGTCGCTGCTAATCCTCATGCAAGCACACGAGAATTAACTCGCGATTCGTACATATCCCAGAGCAGTGTATTAAAACGAAATAAATACCATCCTTACCATATTTTGTTACATCAGGAGCTTCATGGTTTGAATTTTCAAAATCGGTTTTTTTTTGTCAGTGGGCACGTTACAAATACAACAAAATCCATTTTTTTTTTCGTTTTGTATTGTTCTCCGACGAGATGTCTTTTACGAACCCCGGTTCGATAAATCGGCAAAACATGCATTACTGGTGTTGAAAATCCGCATTGGCTTCGTCAAGTTTAACATCAGCGTCCTGGGACTGTCAACTTGTGGTGTGGAAAGGTTGGCAACAAACTCACACACATTCAACATTAAATACATCATTAAAGGAAACTTAAACTGCGAACTGCCCACATTACTTGAAGACTTAAGCTTGAAAGTATGACAGGTTTCAACATGATGGTTGCCCAGCACACTATTAATGTGAAGTACTTGATAGCAATTTTAATGGTCGCTGGATTGGTAGAGCTGATCCGGTTAGTTGGCCTGCTAGATCATCTGATCTTACTTCGCCGTATTTCTTTTTGTGGGACTATCTCAAAGACCGAGTGTATCAATAAGTACCAACAACCCGTAAAAATATGATTGAGCGAAATGCTTGTGCCGAAATTCCAGCGGTTACGCTACTTTCTTGTGTACACTCATTTAAAATCCGAATTAACAAGTGCATTGAAGTCGAAAGCCACAATTTTGAGCACCTAGTTTAATTAAAATTCGAAAAATAAAAATTGTTTTGAGTTAATTTGTATTACTAATAATACAGTCGTATACAGAATACAGAAGAAAAATTGAACAAAATTGATTTTTTTTATTACAGCGCCATCTATTACAAATAAGAAAAAATGTTTTAAACAAAAATACCTATATTTACTCAAATGTGACAACACAAATTTTAACAATCAATTAATTTTTAATAAGTATTTATTAAGAAACTTGTTATCTATCTAAGTATATAATAAAAGTAAATAAAAACATAAGATGGAAAAATTAAAAATAGTTCTTATAAATGGATTTTAAAGAACAAAAACTGTTTCCAATATAAATTTCTTTATATTGTTGTTATTGCCAAGTGCCATAACTATTTCATAATAAATAATTAATAGTTTTCCTTAAGGATTTATTATAGTTTATTATTAAGGTTCAAGGTAGTCTATTAATTTTCTTAATGAAATAATAGGTATAAAACATAGTATGTAAACAACTTGTTAATTAAACATATATTAAACATATAATATATTACACTTGACTCAAATTTAGTTTATATTTATTAAAATTAATTCTTTGAAACAGTTCAATACAAATATGCAATTTAACTAAATGTAGCAATAGGCATATTTTACAAATGATTAGGAAATCTACCTAAATTGTTGTTATATAATTAGATTTCTATTAAAACCAAATATTTATATAACTTTGGATAATTTTGCACTTATTTCATTTTAAAAATTACATTAATTGACAAAATAATTAACAATTAAAGTCAATAGTTTTTAGTTTTTGGGTTATCAGTATTCATTGAAAATGTATTACAAATATTTTTATTAAAATTTAAATAGAAAAGCTGTAAAATGAATACACAAGGAGTGTTAGTTTGTTGTTAAAAATTTATAGGCATATTAACAATAGTAAAATTTAAATTTATTAGTAGTTTCTAAATAAATTTTAACTCTTACCCCATATTCCTGGATCATCAAAGCAAGAATGATGGTTTGAAACTGTTATTAAAGGAACATTTTTTGGCCTGGAGTCCAGCAAATCTGCTATTATGTGTCTATTGTGAATTTTTGTTTTATTTAGCCATTCTAAAACAAAAATAATAAAAATTGTGTTAAAAGTTTATAATATTCTACATAAAAAAATTATAAAATTATAGCGTTGAGTAGTACTACTACAAGTAATGATTAGGTATAGTTTATGTTTATACTATATTAACATAAATTATTGGTCTATCCATATACTATTTTTTTAGTTTATCTCTCTTAAGTTGACATTCTTAAGACAGTTCTAGTTGAGATTCTTATAACCTTAAATAATTGCCATTTTGACATTTATGCAATAATTTCATCGTATATATATTTGGTAATTTATAGTAATATTAAGGTATTAAATAATAAAATTACTTACGTATAAGTATTTTGCTAAAAAGTCCTACAGCAGCTACAGTAATTGAACTTGCAATGCTCCATAATTTGGTTGGATTTCTAAGGTTAGGAAGAATCCAATCAATATTATAAGCCATTTTATTATTTGTCATGTTAAAATTATTATATTATAAACCTAGCATATCATCTTCTTAATATTAAAACATTAATTTTTGAAATCATTTACTTAAACACTTAATACATAAAATCCTACGATAAAATTAACACATGGGGAGCCCTCAAAAACACGATTTTTTCGTCTTATTACATAACTTTGCAAAAAAACTAAGTAAACACAAAACAAATCGTTCATAGAGGAGAAAGCACGTTTAAATACTTGGTGGTCAAATAAGGATTAAAAAATTGTGACATTTCTGACCAACTTCCCCTCCACTTTGCACTGACATAAGACCAGGAGATTTCACTACGCTACCAACATACCAAAAAATAAAAGGTATGTTTTAAGCACCTCCACTAAGTACCCTAGTACAGGAACAAGTGTGTTTTTTTTAGATAATTTAGGAAATTCCAAATGTTTTTTAGCTTATTTTTTTTATTGAGTATAATTGTGTAGGTATATTATATTAACACAAGAGGTATAATATATTATTTTACAAATTAGGTTCATTCCAACCAGCAGTAATATTACCGTAATATTATCGTCCGTAACAGCGTTAATGCGACTGCGCGAACGAAAACAGTAAAATTATTTTGAATATCGTATAAACTGGTTGGAACCTTTTTTGAACTAGTAGTACTCACAATCAGAAGAAAAAGAATATAACCTAAAACCCACAATTGTACTTATTGTGCTAAAAGCTAAGTAAAGCGCATATAAAAGTATATTTTAATAACATCACACATTGATAATAAATTCTTCCATTCCTGCTCACAAATGACAAAAATTAGATGTATTAACATTAAAAATTAATTAAATTACCTTGTATAGCAGTCATTTTTAAATAATATGTCCACGTTTACAGAAAACAAACTTACAATATTACAAACGTTGATAAATAAACAAAAAGTTGAGGTTATATGCCCTCTTCTACGCATGCGTCTAATTTTATTATCAACAGTTCTTGCTCTCGAGCAAGAATCGTTTGAACCGTAATTTTACTGTCCGTAACTCTGGTTGGAACGACGAACTGACAGTAATTGCCAGTTCTAAACTAGTAATTTTAGTTGGTTGGAACGACATTTTACAAACGCGCATGTGTATCAGTAATATTACTGGAAATTACTGCTGGTTGGAATGAACCTATTGTGTCCCCGGATCGGATTGCCAATAGGAAAAACTATTTTAGACCTGACACAGCTAAACCGAGCACGGATCTACCATAGAAAAAGGAAATCTATAGATACGTATACGACCAAAAATTATGTTTATCCGAAATCGACAGTAAAGTAGTAAAGTAAAAGAAATCGGCAGTAAAGTAGAACTTTACTGCCGATGTAATACGAGTATTGTATGCAACCCATTATACATTTTAAGATGTGTCTACTGCTCCTTAGCAGCAACTAAATAATATAAAGCACCGTCGCGGAGGTTGATTGGACCCTTTTATAAAATGTTGTTTAATAAAAACAATTAATTAATTAGATTAAAAAATAGCCACGGCGGGCAAATATATAATAACCGTTGCAACAAACAGTATACGTAGACACTTCCTACATTCAAATGACATTTGATTTAATCATCAATATTTATTATTAAATGTGATTTAGGATAAAATTTAATATGCACATCGACATTAAAGTAATTTTTATCACTCACGTGGTTATTTGCCTCGGCTTTCGCCTCGGCAAATAATTTCCACATTCGTGATAAAAAAACGACTTTACTGCCTTGATACATAAATAACTATTACGTGTCTGAGCGTTTAGCTGTGATATTTCAACAGTTGAAAATTTACCTATAGTGTAATCAGTTCTGAATTTTTAAATACTTATACATATATGTGTGTACTTGGGATTGTATATTATTATCAACCTATTTATTAGTAGTAAAGGAAGTCTAATAAAAACACTCATTTTTTTCGAATTATTCGAATTGGGTCGGTTAATTTTATTTGCATCGCAATTTAACCTTGTTTTTAAAATTATAGCGTACATATATGTATATATATGCTATAATTATAGTTTTTTCTCTGTAATTGGTTATGTCCCGGAGCAGTTCGGAGCACTTTCAGGATTACAGACACAATTGTCGGTCGAACAAGGCAAATAAATGCTGATTTAAAAAAAATCTGTAGAAATAAGAAAAATATGACTTAATAAATTTTTGAATGAGATCCGCTGATTTATGGTTTTGTGGCTTAACCAAAGCCGTCGTTTACACTTCGTCCGGAGTACCATAAGCCTGAGTCAAAGTCAACTATTTTCAGACTTTTTCATGAAGCGATGCACAGCACTTGAAGGATAAAATCGAACTCGCCGCGGTGTGAGATCCAAAGGGTTGTTTAGATTTGAGGTTAGGTTATCTGTCAAATTAATATTTTCCTTGATAAGATTAAATATTTAAATTTAAGTTCCATTTTCGGATTTTATAGCAGTCATCAAATTTTAAAATTAATTGAGATACCAACTTTGTAAAAAAAGTTAATTTTCATTAAAGCCAAGGTAATAAAAAAGTTAGTTTGGGCTATCGTGTCCACGTGAGTTGATAATAGCACAGAACATAATATGAACATTTATGTTTATAGTTTATATCAAGTTTTATAAACGCCATTTTAGTTACGAGTTTTATTAGGCACGAGCGAAGCTTGCGAGCGAGTGTTTAATAAAAACGAGTGTCTAAAGAAGTTTATAAAACGAGTTGCATACTATACTTTATCTACGACGAACAGAAATAAGAATTTAAAGACAGTTTTATTTCATAAAATTTGACATTTAACAAATTTAACCTCACTTTTTTGCAATTTATAATAGAGCTAACTTCAGCCCGTGACTAAAATGCCCAAAAGCCACTGTTATTAACTTCAGCCCGTGACTAAAATGCCATAAAGTCACAACTCGTCAATGTAGGAGTAGATAAACTATATTATATATATTTATCTTCTTCTAATTTTTCCCTCTTGTGAGAGGATATATATATATTTATATAGTGTATAAAATAGCAGTACACAATTACGTCACCAATGATACCAACCATTTTGTTGTATATGATACCAACTGCGTATCTACGTCCAAAAGTAGTCCCCTGTAAAACACATGTTGGATACGTCAAACAACTGTCAAATGCCTTTAATGTTTAAACTAGAAAACAATAAACAAATTAAGTGTGGTTAGGAATGAAGTGACGATTATTTGAGTAAAACAATGAATTCCACAAATATTGTATTTGTAAATAAGCTGAAAGAAGATTTTAATATAAATGTCAGCTTGACGGATGTTGTGTTTACGAAAACTCGTATAGAACTTTACAATAATAACGAAAATAAACATTCTTCTTTCGGGGAAAAGTTGTGTTTACTATATTTGGCCGATTTCACGATATATAATATACAGTTTTCCATAAAAATATTAACGTTTAATTATGTAAGTAAAATAAAATCCACACCATTGGAACTAGATTAGATTTGTTGTTATATCTACAAAATTTTGTCAAACTTTACACTATTGTTATTTATTATAGTTTGTGACAAAGATTATGTAAGACAGATATGTCTGGCTTAAGTCGACATTCTTAAAACAGTTATACCTATCTAGCTAAGTTGAAATATTAACAAAATATTTTTTTAGGATAATTCTAATGAAGTTTTAAAATTGGATATAACCATTCCAGATAAATGGCTGGAGAAAGAGATGGCAAGCTGTAGGAATTTTTTGCAACGAAATAGAAACCTTAATTTAACTTTTAATGTCTTAACAGAATTTGCAAAATTTTTAGAGGCTCGTAGGCTAATATGTGAAGTTGTTTTTACAAAAGAACCCAGAGTGAATATTACGAGGGATGAACAGGGTGGTATTAAAGTGAAGTGTTTGGACATTTTGTCAAACATGTATTTTGGAACTTATTGGCGGATAGAGTGGAATTTAAAGAATTTTTCTGTTATTGATATGATTGAGTTTTACTATACCAACTTTGATAATCGAGGTGGTATAAAGGAAAAAATGGAAAAACTTACTCACCCATCTCTGGACTTTCACAACAAACTTAAAGTATGGAAGGCTTTAATGTCAGAAATACAAAAATACACAAAAGAAAAATTGATGGTATTACGTTCAGTTATGATTAGAAAAAATCCTTCTGATGATGTTTTAATAATTTCTGACACAGAAGACGAAGAGGTTACTTCTTCATCAGGACATTGGAAAAAAAGAAGAATAGATAATGGAGAATCTAGCTCCACTTCTAACTCAAATGTTGTATATACTATACCAGATTAATAGAAGCGTTTTTTTTGTAGTTTTTTGTAAAAAATGGTTCACAAATTAGTCAATTTTTAAAGATTTTATTTAAGCAATTGACTATAATAAATAATTACACCATCCTGTACCTACCTACAAGTTGTAAAAAACTCAGTGTAATATATTTTGTGATAAGAGAATGAAGTTCTATACCTATTTATATATACATTTTGGTGTGAATTATTAATAAAAAAACAGTTAATACAAAAAACTGCCACTAAATTTAATTTTTGAAAGTGCATTTAAAATGGTAAATAGTTTACAACAAATGTATTTTTAATCAAAAGTTGTAGATTGATTTAAAAAATAGATATTATTTATTTATTAGTTTTTGTATATATTTATTTTATTTATAACAAATCCATATGGAATATTCTTTTGTTGTATTTTTTACAATAATGTATGTAAGAGCAATTAGAATATTGTATGTACAGTAATATAAAGTTTTATTATATTTAATACTGTTTTAATTAAATAGATATTTTAGTTATTGTATTTCTACAACTACTTCAAATAAAAAAATGCTTACTTTAAATAAATACTTCCCTGTGGATTTCGATTAGGTCCATTTAATAACTCAACATTTTTCAAAAGCTGCAAACCAAGGTTTTTAAACATTTTTACTACAATTTTGATGATTTTTCCTAAAAAAAACTTTGAAAAACACGTTCCATGATTTTTAAAATGTCATTTTATGCCTAGTTTTGAGCTAACTGTTAAATTTGATAGGTTGACAGCTGTATAAATTTGTGTTATGTTGGCAAGCTTCTTTGTTTCTCTACAACTGTCAAAAATTTTGACAGTTCTATAAAAACTTAAGCTTTGTCAAGTTGACAATGTCAACTAAAATAATGAATTTTGTGTATTTGTGTGCTTAAAATGAATACAGCCAAGGTAATTTTAGTGTAAATAAGGACCAAAAACACATTTTTACATAAACAACTGCATAATTTATTCATTACAAGGGACATTTTAATTCCCTGCGACTTTCTCCTTGCTAAAGTGCATTTGTAAAGCTGCTGCTTGTTTCTTGGTCCATTCTTTAAGTATTTGCAGCTGTCTGGGAAGCGTCTCCTGAGCCAAAGTACGTCTCCATGTTGGCATGGCTAATAGAACGGCGGCGAATAGGAAAAAAGGCCACAAAATCGACAGGATTACTTGTAAAATCCAGGAAAATATTACCCAGGCACCGACGCCGCAAAGTCCTGCTAATATTATCGCTTGGGTTTCGCAGTTTAGCAAGAACGGCGGGATCATTTTCGAAAAGGTGTCGAATACTGGTGAATTTGCAGACATATTGAAAAAGAGGGGATATGTTGTTAATAGAATGTCAGTTTTGAAGGAAACAAAATGCCACTCAGTTGTATAATCTTTGATGCCACTTTAATCAAATTTATCTATATTGTTTTTACCCGGACAACAATCGGGATTTCCTGGTGAAGTCATGATGATATCTCAACGTGATTTTTTTTATCACACTGTAATATTAAGGTGACCAACTGTTCTGATTTAATCAGAACTATACTGTTTTTGAAGTCTTCATTCTGACAGGAAATCGAAGGTAGTAAAGGTTCTGATTTTCCTATTTTGGTTCTGGTCTGTTCTGATTTAGCCTCCCTGTTGTAAATGACCGATTAAATCCTGTAGAAACCAATTGAAGTATTGGTTGGTCTCAATGGGTCTGAATTGGACTTACTGGATTTAATTGGGCGCGATATAAAACAGAAATTGGTTTTTACTGGTATTTTCCATGATGGGAAATACCAGTTAGGATTCTAATGGTTTTTATTGGTTTCGATTGGATAAAGCTACCTATTGGTAATTTCCAATTGAATTCAATTGGGCATTCCCAGTGTAAGATTCGAAAAATCTGCTAATTGGTTATTCCCAATACAATACAAATATCGCAATTGGGTATTCCCAGTGTAAGATTCGAAAAATCTGCTAATTGGTTATTCCCAATACAATATAAATATCGCAAGAGGGCTCTCGTGTAGCTGCGCAAAATCAACGAGGTTGAGACGCCAACAAGTCTTTACGCCGGCCATTTATTAGCGGTTTTTTTTATTAGTCGATTTCAGTGTTAAGTGCCTAGTGTTAATAGTGTGTATTATATTAAAAAAATGTTTATATGTGTAAGATTTAGGGACGATGGCGTAAGAATGGTTGTCACAGCGGACAAAATAAAAAAATTTGATATAAACAATATCGACTTCGACCATGCTTACAAAGTGCTGTATACTGATGAAAAATACTATAGGGCACATTTAATATGCACTGCTGGTAAGTCTTTAATTTATAAATACATGTTAACTTTTGTAAATCACCCAAAAAATTTCAAAAGGAAAACTACATAACCTAATTAATTAATTAAATTATTAGATAATTAAACGGCAATAAAAATCAGCAAAGGGCAATAATTTTTTATAATTTTTAAATTCTTTGTACACAAAGAATAGTTAAAAAAAATTCTTACAATTAATTATTTTATTTAATTTTTTTAACATTAACATTTAAATATGCAAATAATTATAATATATATATATATATATATATATATATATACCTTCTTTAATTTTTAGAAACTGAAGCTGATGCTTTATTGAAAGCAGAAGAAAAAAGATTCAGGATACCTAAAACCCTATTTGATGAATCGTCTACATGTGACGAATTAGAAGAGTCGACCATAATTACCAAAAGCAAAAAAGAATGCAAAGACTTAAGTTATATAGTATTAATACATACATATATCACAAAAAAAATAATAAAGAAATAAAATTACTCAGTAACAAAAAATTTTTTGTCTCTTCTGTGAAAAATGAATTCTGGTTTTTACCCGGTTATCCTTCTGGCATCTAAAATTATTTTTGATTGAAAAATAAACTGGTAGGTATTTTCTAATCCAAAATTAAAAAAAATTAATTGGTTGGTATGGGTTTGGCGCTATGAATTACCAATTCATTCCATGTGCATTTCTATTGGATTTAGCCAATAGAGACAAGCATAGGCATGGATTGGTATTTTCCAATTCAAGCCGCTGACTTCATTGGAAATTACCAATAGGAATTCAACTGGAATGAACTGGTGATTCATAGCGCCAAAACACATTTCAAACCAATTCAAACCAATTACTTATTTTTTATTGGATTCTATTGGTATTTTCCAATTCAAGTTGCTGACTTCATTGGAAATTACCAATAGGAATTCAACTGGAATGAACTGGTGATTCATAGCGCCAAAACACATTTCAAACCAATTCAAACCAATTACTTATTTTTTATTGGTTTCTACTGGTCATTTACAATAGGGCTACCATATAAAATTATCTTCCAATTTTTATAAATCCCTATTAATTTATTAGGTATACCTAATAACTAAAAATAACTAAGCTAAAAACACAAATTTCATAATAATTATATATACATATATATATGGGGAATTCCACGCCAAATCGACCACTTTTGACCCAACCCCTTTCGATTTTACTGAACTTTTTAAATTTTTTTCTACCCCACTAAAAAAAGTTTCTCAGAGTTTTTCCAATTTTTTTACCCAAACCAAAAAAAAGTTACGAATTTTCAAAAAAATGGCCAATTTTCTTTTCTTTCAAAAACACAAAACTTTGGCAAAATTTGACTAAATGGGGCGGTTTTTTTTTGGTTTTTAATGAACCTTTCAGAAAAAAGTTTGGGAAAAAAGACTTTTGAAAAATGTTTAACATGTTTTTGGTCGGGTAAAAAAAACCTAAAAAATTTTTAGTGGGGTGAAAAAATATAACATAATTTCAGCCAAATCGAAAGGGGTCGGGTTCAAAAGTGCCGATTTGGCGTGGAACGACCCATATATAAAATAACTATTATGAAATTTGTGTTTTTAAACTCAATTGAGAGTAAATAATAATAACATAACACAGGTAGTTGCACAAAAAACAGGAAAAAATAGGGCAACACCTTTTTTCTAAAAAAAATTCCTACAGGCCACCGCTGTTCTGGTTTTACCCTTTACACAGTTGGTCACCTTATGTAATATCCCGAGTGCATACACATGCTTCATCACAGTGATATCATGTAGAACTCACGGTGTGATATTTGCAAAATTTGCGCATGCGTTTGAGCCCTGCGAACTGCGAATTTAAAATCTACCCGGACAACATTCGTGATATTCATACGAACATCACGTCGTGATTTTCACAAATTTTATTCATACTGATATCATACGGAAGTCACCACGTAATAAATGAAAATCATACGAACGTTACTTCGTGATTTTCACAAATTTTGTTCATACGGACATCATCCGGATGTCACTGCGAGAGAAATGAAAATCATGTCGTAATTTTTTATGCCATCGCTGTTTGCAATTGACCGATGGCACAAAAAATCATGTCGTGATTTTTTATGACATCAAGAGAAAAATTATGTTGAATCAACAGTTTTTGCGGTTAAATACATTTAATATTTTCTTGGATTTAAATTAACTATATATAATTAATTTAAATCCAAGAAAATATTGAATGTTAAACTGTTGATTCAATTGTTACATACTTTTTCTTTCAATGTCCGAATGTGTCGCAAAAATGAATATCCAAACACCGATGGCATAAAAAATCATTTCGTGATTTTTTATGACCAAACACCGATGGCATAAAAAATTATGTCGTGATTTTTTATGCCATCGATGTTTGGATATTAATTTTTGCGCCACATTCGTACATTGAGAGAAAAAGTATACCTACATATATGTATGTTGAATCAACAGTTTTTGTGGTTAGGGGCCGTCCATAAATTACGTAACACCATTTTTGCCAATTTTTGACCCCCCCCTCCCCCCTGTGTAACACTCTGTCACACTTGGGCAAACCCCCCCCCTAAAATTACGTAACACTTTGGCTTACCCCCCCTAAACTCAAAAAAAAGGACAAAACATATCGCACATGGGCGACAACAGTGTCATAAGTAGTAAAACGATATAAGTTAACTTATATCGTTTTATATCGTTAATTAACGTAAAAGATTTTTGAATAATAAAAATCTGACAGAATTTTATTATTCAAAAATCTTTTACGTAAACTTATAGGTATCGGAATTTTCGTTTTACTACTTATGACACTGTTGTCGCCCATGTGCGATATATTTAGTTAATAACCAAAAAAAAACAAAAAATATACTCAGTCAACAGAATCTTAATCTCAAATCAAACAAAAAACAAAATCTTAAAAATTTAAGCTTATTACAAACAGGTAGGTAACAAAATCTTACTATTAGTAGAGGATCCCAAGTAAGGTCGACCTTCACCCATCTGCTTACCAGATGAAAATTATATTTTATCAAATAAAATATGTTTCTGAACATAAACCAATAGGGTTGCCATAAAAAATATGATCAAGGCTAGCTATAATAAATAAAAAATTAAAAAAAAATAATTAATTTTTTAAATTTCACCGACTTGCTTGCCAAATGAACGAAATTCCAATGGAAAGCATACAACATACAGAATATGTAACAGCTAGGTTGCCTACCTTTTTCTGGTCCCTATTACCTGGTTGCTTTGTACAGGGTGATCCCCTATAATGTCGCCCCCCTTTAACTTTTTTATTTTATTTTTATTTTAAGTGTCCCAAAAAATTTAAAAGTTAAACACTTAAAATAAAAAAGTTAAAGGGGGGCGACATTATAGGATATCACCCTGTACAAAGCAACCAGGTAATAGGGACCAGAAAAAGGTAGGCAACCTAGCTGTTACATATTCTGTATGTTGTATGCTTTCCATTGGAATTTCGTTCATTTGGCAAGCAAGTCGGTGAAATTTAAAAAATAAATTATTTTTTTTTTTAATTTTTTATTTATTATAGCTAGCCTTGATCATATTTTTTATGGCAACCCTATTGGTTTATGTTCAGAAACATATTTTATTTGATAAAATATAATTTTCATCTGGTAAGCAGATGGGTGAAGGTCGACCTTACTTGGGATCTTAGACTATATTAGGTTATTAGGAATCACTTAAGCAGTAGTATGGGTATTTTTCAGTCGTCAGAACTTTTCCATGGTGTTGAAATGGCATTTTCCATGGATATTACTTCTATGCTTGCGTTTTCGTAGATATATTCGGCAACAGCCACATTTTCTAAAACATCTTCATCAATCCACTGTAGCTCCTGATCTGTTTTATCAAGTTGCACCAAAAATTCCTTTTGTCTTTTAGCTGCCACCCTTTCTGGTCTAATTCTTTTAATATTTGCCTCTCGCCCGCAGTCTTTTTTGTGGCTGAGTGTATATTTTATCGAAGCCCCATAAAGCCCACATTTCTTGCAGATTCGTTTCTGCAAAGCTTCTTTTACTGAAGGACACAT